GGTTGACTGTTGGCTAACTTGCTGCTAACAGTTGGCTACCTGTTAACAAACTTTTGGGTTACTGTTAGTTGACGGTTGGTTAACTGTTAGCTGACCCTTGGCTAACTTGTGTCTAACAGTGTGCTGATTGTTAGCAAAGTTTTGGTTAACTGTTAGCTGAAATAATCAATAAAAAGGGTTTTATTGGCCCTTTAGCTCAGAGACTGAGATACAGGATGAACCCTCGCTTACTCTGACTTTACTACAGGAACTTTAAACCAACTTAGCTAGTTATTTTGATTTCATTTTTATACTTCAGATATTTTTTTTTTTTGAATTCGACACAGGGTTTTCCAAATTGCTGCACAAAAACATATCCAGACAAATAAATAACACAGTAGAAATTCAGCTAAAAGTAAAAAAAAAAATTTTTTTGTAAATTTTGGGGTGAAATATATTAACTCATTGGCTGCCAAAGACGTCTATAGAGGTCTTTTATGTTTTTAACGAGAGTGTCTGGGGGACGATCTGCTAAAGCTTGTCCGTAAATATCAGGCTTCTAGACAGAGTATGTTGTAACAAATTGACCTTCTAGGGGGCAACTCTATCTCTATCTCTACCTCTACCTCTACCTCTATCTCTATCTCTATCTCTATCTCTATCTCTACCTCTATCTCTACCTCTATCTCTACCTCTACCTCTACCTCTATCTCTATCTCTACCTCTACCTCTACCTCTATCTCTACCTCTATCTCTACCTCTACCTCTATCTCTACCTCTACCTCTATCTCTATCTCTACCTCTATCTATACCTCCACCTCTATCTCTACCTGTACCTCTATCTCTATCTCTATCTCTACCTCTATCTCTACCTCTACCTCTACCTCTATCTCTATCTCTACCTCTATCTCTACCTCTACCTCTATCTATACCTCCACCTCTATCTCTACCTGTACCTCTATCTCTACCTCTATCTCTACCTAACCTCTACCTCTATCTCTACCTCTATCTCTACCTCTATCTCTATCACTGACTCTGATCAGTGTTTCTCCTCTGGATAGCTTATTGTCATAGTGATGAGAAATGGAATATTGTGTCTACTCTGTAAGTCGCTTTGGATAAAAGCGTCTGCCTAATGCATAAACATAAACACAAAATAGAAACATAATATGATAATATAACAATAATCACAGCCTCCGGCCGACTGTCTCCTCTCCTTTCTGATTTTTTAAATATATTTTATGCATCTCTCCCTGTTCCCAGACTGTCTCCCCTCTCTCCTTTCTGTTTTTTTAATATATTTTATGCTTCCCTCCCTGTTTCCAGACCTATATCGGCTCCATCCTGGTGGCGCTGAACCCGTACCAGCGTCTGCCCGGCGTTTACGGGCGCGCGGCGGTGGAGCGCTACGGCCGCCACCGGCTGGGCGAGATGCCCCCCCACATCTACGCCGTCGCCAACGAGTGCTACCGCGCGCTGTGGAGGGCGCCGCGGGACCAGTGCGTGCTCATCAGGTGGGTGATGGGAGTCCTCCAGGGTGGTCCAGGAGGCTTCTGCAGCAGCTAAACGGGCAAAAATACGTGGAAAAATGCAGCTAAACGGCCAAAAATAAGTGGAAAAAGCAGAAAAACAACCAAAAATAAGTGGAAAAGGTAGAAAAACCACCAAAACTAAGTGGAAGAAGCAGCAAAAGAATGAAAAATAAGTGGAAAAAGCACCAAAAAGAACCAAAAATAAGTTGAGAAAGGCAGCAAAACAACCAAAAATAAGCGGAAGAAGCAGCAAAAGAATGAAAAATAAGTGGAAAAGGCAGAAAAATAACCAAAACTGAGTTGAAAAGGCAGAAAAAGTACCGAAAATAAGTGGAAAAAGCAGAAATAGAACCAAAAATAAGTTGAAAAAGGCAGCAAAAACAACCAAAACTGAGTTGAAAAAGCAGAAAAAGTACCGAAAATAAGTGGAAAAAGCAGAAAAAGCATGAAAAATAAGTGGGAAAGGCAGAAAAACAACCAAAATTAAGTGGGAAATGGCAGCAAAATAAACGAGTGCTACCGATCGCTGTGGAGGGCGCCGCGGGACCAGTGCGTGCTCATCAGGTGGGTGATGGGAGTGGTCCTAGAGGCTTCTTCAGCCAAAAATAAGCAGAAGAAGCAGAAAAACAACAAAAACTAAGTGGAACAAGCAGCAAAAGAATAAAAAATAAGTGGAAAAAGCAGAAAAAGAACCAAAAATAAGCGGAAGAAGCAGCAAAAGAACCAAAAAATAAGTGGAAAAGCATAAAAACAATCAAAAATAAGTGGAAAAAGGCAGCTAAACGGCCAAAAATAAGTGGAAAAAGCAGAAAAACAACAAAAACTAAGTGGAAGAAGCAGAAAAAGCACCGAAACTAAGTGGAAGAAGAAGCTAAAGAATGAAAAATAAGTGGAAAAGGCAGAAAAATAATGAAAATTAGGTGAAAGATGCAACAAAAGAATGAAAAATAAGTGGGAAAAGCATAAAAACAACCAAAAATAAGTGGAAGAAGCAGCAAAAGAATGAAAAATAAGTGGAAAAGGCCGAAAAATAACCAAAAAGAAGTAAAAGAAGCAGCAAAAGCATGAAAAATAAGTGGAAAAGGCAGAAAAATAATGAAAATTAGGTGAAAGATGCAACAAAAGAATGAAAAATAAGTGGAAAAAGAAGAAAAATAACCTAAAAGAAGTAGCAAAATAATGAAAAATAAGTGGAAAAGGCAGAAAAATAACCAAAATTAAGTGGGAAAAGGCAGCAAAACAACCAAAAATAAATAGAAGAAGCAGCAAAAGAATGAAAAATAAGTGGAAAAAGTACCGAAAATAAGTTGAAAAAGGCAGCAAAACAACCAAAAATAAGAGGAAAAGGCAGAAAAATAACCAAAACTAAGTGGAAAAAGCAGCAAAAGAATGAAAATGAAGTGGAAGATGCAACAAAAGAATGACAAATGAGTGGAAAAAGCAGAAAAAGAACCGAAAATAAGCGGGGAAGGCAGCAAAATAATGAAAAATAAGTGGAAAAGGTAGAAAAACCACCAAAAATAATTAAAAGAAGCAGCAAAAGAATGAAAAATAAGTGGGAAATGCATAAAAACAACCAAAAATATGTTGAAAAAGCATAAAAACAACCAAAAATAAGTGGAAAAAGGC